CTGCTTCAGGCTATGGCAGTCACTTACCTAAGTCTCACCTGGATGTCAAGGTCAATAAAAGTCAGAAAGGTTGTTTCGCCCTTCTCGTGGGTGTACCTGGCCTGGCCAAAGTTTTCACAAGCCATTTATTTCTTGCAAATTAATATCTTTCTTTACTGGCCTCACAGCTAGTGGAAATTTTGGCTTAATTTCAATCCCTGATAATACTGCTACAAAGGACATTTGAAATAAAATATTCTCTTAGAATAATTCTATTCTAACAACTTTGGTGGTAAGTTATATAGTTATTGAGCACCACATTTAATCTAACTGTTCCATTCAAAGAAAAAAATGAATATATACTGCTGCTTAAGATACTTCCTTTAAATGCTAAGAAATAGTATATTTCCCACTATTAACATACCATAGAGTTACACATTGTTGCATTAGTTTTATGAGCTATGGAATTCAAATTAAATATAGCAAGTCAATTACCTTAAGGCATTTCCTTCATGCTTACAGGCAAACATCCTTGGTATGTTAAACAAAGGAGACTTTTTAAAGGGTGGTGCGTATTTCAGAGAGGTAAAGAGTGGTACAGAAAGTGCTTGTGGTCCATCAGAGCTTTTGTAACCTCATATTTCTCCACAAATACTTAAACTGCCAGATTTTAATGTTATGCTCAGTACCACAGGATCCCTAGATTTGTCACAAGTTCAGGTACAAATCCAAACTAAAACTTTACAATGTACCCAGTGCTGGTGAACAAAACTTAGTAATGTTGAGGGACTGGGAGTTAAAATAAGCTGTGGTTTGAGTCTTTGAATTTGACTGTTCCTTTGTGTGCAACTAGAATCTGTAACTGGTCTAGAAGTCCTGGCTTAAAGGATTGGAGATGACTCCACACTGCCATTACAAGGTTATTCCTTAAAGTTACCAGACCTGAGCATTCACCTCATTTTTCCTTAGAGTACAACTGAAAAATCACAAAAGGTAAATTCCATTTGATTTTCACTCCATTCCTCTCTCAGCCAATATGGAAGAATGCAGTACACACATGCTGATCCCAGGATGCAGAACAAGGTGAGTTAATAGGATGGAAGCCTTGATACAGACTTTCCTTGCCTTTGAACAAAAGCAGAGAGGGGGAAAGGCTCTTTAGGCAAGCTGCTCCATGCTCCTGCCCATACAGAATGATTCCCAAAGACTACCATCCAAAGTGCCAGGCAGGTTTTAATTCAAACCAATTTTTCTTTTCCCCAAAGGATGGGATCTCCAAAGTGCTAATGGCACAGCTACCATGGCTCAGGTTAAAACAGTTTATGGAAAGCCACATAAAGCTCCAAAAGAGCTCTAAAAGACATTTTGCCCTTGGATAAAATTCAGCATTTTATCCAATGCTGAGCATCAAAGTTAAACAAATCAGGACATTTTTTTTAAGGGTGGTGCATATTTTAGAGAGGTAAAGAGTAGTACATCAGAGCTTTTGTAATCTCATATTTCTCCAGAAATATTTCAATCATCACTTGGAAACATGGACAAATAACTAGGGAAGAATATAAGAGCATGGCTGGGGCATGCAGGGATGAAGTCAAGAAGGCCAAAGCGCAATTGGAGTTGCAGCTAGCAAGGGATGTGAAGGATAACAAGAAGGGTTTTTACAAGTATGTCTGTAGCAAGAGGAGGATCAGGGAAAGTGTGTGTCCCGAATGGGGGAGGCAACCTTGTGACAGAGAATGCAGAAAACGGTGAAGTGCTCGATGCCTTTTTTTGCCTCAGTCTTCACAGGCAAGGTCAGCTCCCAGACTACTACACCTGGCAGCACAGTTTGGGGAGGAGGTGAGCAGCCCTCAGCAGTGAAAGAACAGGTTACGGACTACTTAGAAAAGCTGGATATGTACAAGTCTATGGGGATGGATGGGATGCACCCGAGGGTGCTGAGGGAGTTGGTTGATGTGATTGCAGAGCCACTGACCACCTTCTTTGAAAATTCATGGTGATCAGAAGAGGCCCCAGGTGATTGGAAAAGAGCACACATAGTGCCCATATTTAAGGGAAAAAGGAGGATCCAAGGGATTACAGACCAGTCAGCTTTATCTCAGTCCCTGGAAAATTCATGGAGCAGATCCTCAAGGAATCCAATTCTAAGCACTTAGAGGAGAAGGTGATTAGGAACAGTCAGCATGGATTCACCAGGGGCAAGTCATGCCTGACCAACCTGATTGCCTTCTATGATGATATGACTGACTCTGTGGATACAGGGAGACTGGTGGATGTGGTGTACCTTGATTTTTAGCAAGGCTTTTGACATGGTCTCCCACAACATTCTCCCAGGCAAGTTGAGGAAGTATGGGTTGGATGAGTGGACTGTAAAGTAGACAGAAAACTGGCTGGAGCACTGGGCTCAGCAAGTAGTACTCAATAGCTCAATGTCCAGTTGGCAGCCAGTATCAAGTAGAGTGCCCCAGGGGTCAGTCCTGGGGCCGGTTTTGTTCAATGTCTTCATCCAATAACCTGGAAGATGGAATAGACTGCACCCTCAACGAGTCTGCAGATGACAACAAGCTGGGGGGAGCAGTAGATACGAAGGAGGGTAGGGCTAGGATTCAGAGTGACCTAGACAAATTGGAGGATTGGGCCAAAAGAAATGTTATGAGGTTCAACAAGGACAAGTGCAAAGTCCTGCACTTAGGAGAGAACAATCCTATGCACCACACAGGGTGGGGTCTGACTGGCTTGGCAGCAGCTCTGCAGAAAAGGACCTGGGGGTTACAGCAGACAATAGGCTGAATATGAGCCAGCAGTGTCCCCTTGTTGTCAAGAAGGCTAGTGGCATACTGGGTTGCACTGGTAGGTATGTTGCCAGTAAGTCAAGGTTAAGAGATTATTCCCCTCTATCTAGCACTGGTGAGACCACACCTGGAGTACTGTGTTCAGTTTTGGGCCCCCCCCTACAGAAAGGATGTGGACAAATTGGAGAGTCCATTGGAGGACAATAAAGATGGTGAAGGGGCTGGGGGACATGACTTATGAGAAGAGACTGAGGAAACTGGGCTTATTTAGTCTAGAGAAGAGGAGACTGAGAGGGGACTTAATAGCAGCCTTCAACTACCTGAAAGGGGTTTGAAAGAGGATGGAACTAGATTGTTCTCAGTGGTGGCAGATGACAAAACAAGGAGCAATGGTCTCAAGTTGCAGCAAGGGAAGTTTAGGTTAGATATTAGGAAGAATTTTCTCGCTGGGAGGGTAGTAAAACACTGGAACAGGTTACCCAACAAGGTGGTGGGGTCTCCATCCTTAGAGGTTTTCAAAACCTAGCTAGACAGCATTGGCTGGGATGATCTAGTTGAGGGTGGTCCTGCTTTGAGCAGGGTGTTGGACTAGATGACCTCCTGAGGTCCCTTCCAACCCAAATTTTCTATGATTCTATGAAGAGATTCCTATGCAATTAAACGGGGGGTAGGGGGGTGTTGCAATAAATTAAGGCAGCACATGAATTAGTGCATGAGAAGATGCAGGTTATTATGTAAGAAGGCCTCAAAAAACAGCAACTTCTATGAAGCGTTTAATTTTGAAGCACTTTCAGGCATGTCTGCACACTCAACCAAAGCACAATAAAGGTTACCATGTGCTCAGCATCCTACCATTTTCCACTCCACACCTGTGACCAGAGAGGTTAGGTGGGCTGAGTTTTTGTGGGGAACCCTCTGGGTGCTCAGTGTGCGCATGGGCTGAGGTACACAGTTGCTGTAGATAGTTCACAAGTAGGAAATCTAGATGCCCTTCTTACCTGAGGGGGAGATGGCAGTCTGGGCCTGGCAACAGGCCACAGAGACTGCCCCATGATTGGTTCTCCATAACATGTTTCATTTAACTGGGCGTTAGTCTCCAGGTTAACACTATATTTCTGTAACTGTTTAGTTAGGAGTGGGCCTGACTGTGCCAGAGAAGGAGGGAGGCTCTGAGAGAGCAGGGGAGAAATAAAGGGTAGTTCCACGGATGACAGAGAGAGTAAGATACAGGACAGTCCCCAGGAGGACAGGGAGAGTAGTCGTAGGGGAGGACAGAGCACAGAGGAAGGAATACTTGCAAAAAGAACAGAGCGGAAGCTGAGGAAGGACAAACTGTTGAAGCGGAGCTGTTTGCTGTGTTTTTGGGGACAGTGGCACTCTGATCCCTCTCCCTTTGAAGAAGAAAACACCCCCTTTCCAGAAGCTGACCAAAGAAGGAGCACTGAGGCAGAGGTGCTATGGATCACTGGGAAAGCCAGGGACAGACTGGAGCTACGTTCTCAAGCCAGAGGCTTGCCCCTTCAGAAGCTGTCAGGGCTGCCTTCAGTGGGTCCTGAAGGAGGGGGACCAAACAAGACTTCTTTTGGAAAGTCCTGAGGCAGAGCTTCCCCTGAAAGAGGCAAGATCCATGACACCATGCCTACCGTGACTCCAAATGGTCACCCATGACTCATGCTGAACTCTACTGCTCTGGTGTCATAGAGCTCTGCTCATATGCAACCTTGCATACGTACTGCTCTGCATGAAGTCAAACCAGGCCTTCTCACAAGCCACACAACCTGGGGACATGGTTCAGGGCTACAGTGGGATGACTATGAGAACCAATCTGGAATAGATCACCACAGACCAGCACCCAGTGTCTATGCCATTTGAGGCCAAAAGGAAATCCAGAAGTCACTCAGGACAAGCCATGGCAACCAGGCTGTCCTTCAGCACATCACCACTAAAATGGTGGCTCATGGCCATAATTGCAATTGGTACCAGAGCTACATCATGACCAAGGTCTTGAAGGCCCACTTCAGGAGGAACTGTGCTGCCAATCTGGTCTCCACTACTCAAAGACTGACACATACTTATTACAAAGAGCTATCATAGATCCTCATACGTGATACCATAGAATCCTGCTACCTCATAAACACCACTGGCAACACCCAACTCAGAGGAATCTGAGGCCCCCAAACAGGCATCCTTTTGATGCATCAGCTCCTGAGACCATTTCTACCAAAGAAGGAATTGTAGAGAATACTGTGGCGAGAAAGGAGGAGGATCATTCTGACATCATTGATCAGCATAAAGCTAAGAAGAGAACCTTGGGCACTGAAGAGGAACGTGCTCTTGAGGAGTCTGCGGATAAGGCAAGAGGACCAAAAGAAGCAAAGGTGATGTTAAAGGAGGCTCCTCTGCACGTCAAAGGGCCTGCGGAGACTGTAGAGAAACTGGGACAAAGCTCCCTTATAAAGTCTGACAGTGAATGTAGTTCCAAAAAACTTTCTACCTTAAACATTACAGACAAATGCCAAGAAACAAAGCACAGTACTAGTGACTATCCAGAGGGACAAAGTGCTGTGGACTCTCCTACAAAACTGAGCAAGGTTCTAGAGAGCTATTCTAAGGAAAATGAGGGACTGAGCGATAATGACAAACTTGGAGAAGACACAGAAAGACAAAAACTTCAGACACATTCTCCAGGTAAAGAAAAGGTCTGCACCACCAAGAAGATGGAGAGGGAGCACTACTGTAAAAAGAGACGGCACTCTGAAAACGAGGAGAAACTGGACAGTCGTGACTCCAGAAAGAGACGAACGTACAGCAGTGAGAGGGGGAAGCAAGATCATCACTACAAGAAGCACCATGACAATGGGAGCAAATACAAACTCATGCATAATGAAAGAAGCAGCAGAAGCTCCGGAAGGTATCCTGATTACAGATCCCACAGCAGAGAACAAAATGATAAGGACGGGGGTTGGTATTACCTTCCGAAGAGAGAAGGCTCTTGGAATAGAGAGAGGTATTACCAAGACATCCCACGAAGGTGGGACAAAGGTAGATATTACTATGATTATTATCCTTTCCATGCGCCAAGAGACAATCGAGAGAGAAAGTTCTCTCACGTGGACAGAGAGTATGCGAAACCAAGCCACATTTATGACCCTAGGTCATACAAGGACTATTACTACAAGACACGATGGATTCATGAGCCAGCCACTAAGGAGAGAGAGAAACGCAACTTCAGCAGCTCCAAAGGAGACTTTCACCATTGCCCAGCACCCCCACAGCATTCTGAAAAGTATTCCTCAGAGAAAAGTGCACCTACAGCGGGAGAAAACACTTCCAGTTTTGAGACTTCTTGCCTCAAATATGAGGACGTAAAGGACAGAAAAAGAAGATGCCCTATTGGAGACGAGAGTGACAGTGAGGCAGAAAGGGAGCGCAAAAAGACCCTGCAGCGTGAGCCTTCAGAGGAGCAAAAGGTGAAAAAACACAAGAAATCAAAGAAAAAGAAAAAATCCAAAGACAAACACAGAGAGAAAGGTAGCAGGTAACCCAGAAAAAATTTGTCGCTGTGGTTCAAGAAACTCTTTTAGCGATTTTATTTTGGGGTATTTTCCTTTCTTCTGTTGCTTCCGAGTCCATTGCATTGTAGACTTATTACATGCTAATTGTGGGTTTTGTTTACATCTGCTTTCTGATTATTCCACTAAGTGCTGCCTAGTTCTCCTAGGCCAGGCAGTGGGCTGAATCTGGCCCTCAAAGAGATTGGTTCCAGCTGCAAAGGTCTGGCGTGGGTGGGAGTGTGGGCAAAGGACCCTAGTGCGGGTGCTTGTTGTACAGGTCCTTGTGGTGTGTCTTTGTTTTTTCCCCTCTCCCTCCCTCGTTTTTTATCTTTAGCACTGGTGAGCTCGGGAAGCAAAGGAGGCACAAATGGAGTCCGTGTCAGTTGTTACGACACAGCTGTTGTGTCGGATGTGCCACGTTCGTGTTCCTCCCAGAGGGTCAGAAGCACTTCATCTGCACCAAGTGTAAGCTGGCATCTGCCTTTGAGAAAAGATTCACAGACTGGAATCACCGGTATCCATGCTTCATTGCATTCGGGACCAGGAAGATTACCTAGACAAGGATTACGAGAGGCTGGTACTGGAGGGGCTAAAGGGCAATAAGGAGAAGTGGCAGCATGCAACTACTCAAAGGAGGAGGTCACCCAGAATTGAAGAGGAGTGGACTGAGGTCAGCACCCACTTCCAAGCACTCTACAATGGCACTGCTGAGGAAGAGGAAAAAGAGAAGAGATCTGCATGCATGAGGCAGAAGTGGCAGCAGCCTAAAGAGCAGGAAATGCAAGGCCCCAAAGACAGGGGCTCCAGAACCACTCCATCAAGAAGAGTGGTGGTGGACGGTAACTCCCTTCTGCAGGGGACAGAGGCACCAATTTGCTGTCCAGATTTGGGAGCTCAGGTGTATTGCCTGCCTGGAGCCTGTATTCAGGATGTCACAGAGTCTGCAAAAGCTCATCCATACTTTGGACCACTACCTCTTCCTGCTTGTCCACATAGATACTAACAATACTGCAAGGAATGACACTGACCAGATCAGAAGTGACTATAGGGCTCTTGGCAGAAGGATTAAGGAGCCTGGAGTACAAGTTCTGTTCTCATAGGTCCTTCCCATGGAAGGCAGGGGTCCAGGCAGAGACCGTTGTATCTTGGTAGTGAATGCATGACTGAGATGGTGGTGTCAAGGTGAAGGCTTCAGCTTCTTTGACAATGGGTGGATGTTCTTAGGAGGGATGTTCTGCTATTAAGAGATGGGATTCATCTCACAAGAATGGGAAAGCACATCTTTGGGCATTGTACGGCCAATGTAGTGAGGACTTGAAACTAGGTTCCATGAAAGATGGTGAACAAAACCCTCCAGTAACAGAGCACGCAGTCCAGAGGGGAAAGGACTCAAAGAATCGACTCAACTTTGGAAGAGGACCAGAGAGCTACAGGACTGCAACAAGTGGCAAAAAAAGGAAGCAAGGAGGTGAAAATGCACAATATATCTGATTCACATATACAAATGCAAGAAGTATGGGGAATAAACCAGATGAGTTGGAAGTGGCAGCCTGTGAAAAGAACTACAATCTGACTGGCATCACTGAGGCCTGCTCTTATGACTGGATTGTGAACACTGAGGGTTACACTCTGTTTCGGAAGGACAGGGTTGGGAGAAAAAGTAGTAGTGTTGCCTTGTATATCAAAAACACATATACTTGTTCCCTGGTTCAGGAGGAAAAAGACAGCAAAGAGGAATGCATTTGGGTGAAGATGAAAGGTGAAAGATGCAGTACCAATATAATGATGGGTATTTATTACAGGCCACATAATCAGGAAAAGGAGGTGAATAAGGCACTCTTACAGCAACTGACAAATATATTGAAAAGCTATGGGATGGTACTGATGGGACACTTCAGATTTTCAGACACCTGCTGAAAGAACAATGCAACCAAACATAAAATGTCAAGCCGGTTCCTAATGTGTGTGGAGGACAACTGTCTCTTCCAGAAAGTAGAGGATATAACTAGGGAATCATTTGTCTCTTACTGCACAGAGGAGGACGCAGACCAATGGCCTGAAGTTGCAGCAAAGTAAATTTAGATTGGATATCTGGAAAAACTTCTTCGTTGTGAGAACAGTGAGGCAGTGGAATCCCTTGCTCCCTTTTTTCTGCTGTGTGTGTCAGGATGTTTTTAAGCCTTTTCAGAGGCACTGGGTGTTGGCTACAGCTAAGGCTGGGGACTTCAACTGGAGTGTGCCAGTTCTCCCTATTAGAAGCAAAGCCAGAGGTTCCTGCCTCAAGGGTCTTGCCCCTCCACTCAGGGTCAGACCGATTTCCATAGTTGGGGTCAGGAAGAATTTTACCCTACGGTCAGATTGGTATGGACTTCCTCTGTAACAGGGGGCATGGCCCCCCACTACCCAGGACTTCTTCAGGGTATATTGACAACATTTTATAGAAGCAGGACATTGGCTGCTGTGGTTCCCCTACATTACATTTAGCAGGCTGGGGTGTTAGGTCTATATTGTGTCAGGGTTGAGGGTAGTCTTATGTAGAGTTTAGATTATGGTTTTATGGGATGGTTGGGATAGCAATGATGCTGCCTCAGGCAGAGGGTTGGACAAGATGACCTCTGAGGTCCCTTCTGGCCCTACTTCTCTATGACTTTATGACCTTCTCCAGAGAGACCACAGCTTCAGGGGACATGTCAACATAGCCAAGAGGGTAGTACCCACTGCCTTTCTCATTGATAAATTCACCATTGGTCAGTTGGGAATCAGCTGGCAGGTTGGGAATCAGTGGTACTTGGCGATGGATATGAGTGGTGGCAGTTGAAATAGCATACGGGAACATCTCCTAGCTAAAAAGGAGGTGTACACCCAATGGAAGGGTGGGGCCATCACCAGGGAGGACTATACCTCAGTTGCTCAGGGCCGCAGGGGGGTGGGCAGGAAGGCCAAGGCAGAGATGGAACTGGGACTAGTTACCCAGATCAAGGACAACAAGAAGTCCTTTTTTAAATACATAAGGGGTAAAAAGAAGGTACCAGGTAACATGGGGCCTCTGCAGGACACACTAGGAAATCTGGTCATTGCACCAGACAGCAAAGCTAACCTATTTAACGATTTCTTTGCCTCCATTTTTCTGAACAGGGACCGGGTCACCCCCCACACTGGGACCCCCGTAGGTCCCAGGGGAGGTGCACCCAGGCTTAGGGTCAGTGAGGACCTAGTCAGTGAACTTCTGGAGAGACTGAACGTATTTAAATCAGCAGGTCCTGACAATCTCCACCCCAGAATGCTGAGGGAATTGGCAGAGGTCATAGCGGGACCCCTGGCACGGCTTTACGAGCACTCATGGTGCTCTGGTGTAGTGCCAGAGGACTGGAAAAGGGCCAATGTGGTTCCCAATTTCAAAAAAGGGAGGAAGGAGGACCCAGGAAACTATAGGCCAGTCAGTCTTACCTCGGTCCTAGGTAAGGTTTTTGAGAGAGTTATCCTGGCGCATGTCCGCGAGGGACCAGCAGGGGAGATTATGCTTAGGGGCAACCAACACGGGTTCATTAGAAGCAGGTCCTGTCAGACCAACCTGGTGGCCTTCTATGACCAGGTCACAAAATCCTTAGATGCAGTGTAGCAGTGGACGTAGTCTTTCTGGACTTTAGGAAGGCCTTTGACACTGTCTCTCACCCCATTCTCATTGAAAAACTAGGGGACTGTGGTGTCGACACCTACACAATCAAATGGGTCACTAGTTGGCTGGAGGGCCGCACCCAGAGAGTGGTGGTGGACGGGTCATTTTCAACCTGGAGAGATGTGGGCAGTGGGGCTCCGCAGGGCTCAGTCCTTGGGCCCGCACTGTTCAACATCTTCATCAGCGACTTGGACAAGGGTGTAAAAAGCACCCTGTTCAAATTCACAGATGACACTAAGATGTGGGGAGAAGTAGGCACGCCAGAAGGGAGGAATAGGCTGTAATCGGACCTAGACAGGTTACAGGGGTGGGCGGATGAGAACAGGATGGGTTTCAACACTGACAAGTGCAAGGTGCTGCACCTGGGGAGGAAGAACCAGCAGCATACCTACAGGCTGGGGAACTCCCTTC